TATAGCTCAACTGGTCAATGAGGTACGCAAACAGTCGCACCACGTTAAGGTCCACCATTTTGTTCAATTACGTCTTGGATTCTATCATGGAGTGTTCCCTTGCGGAATCTCACGATGTGGGCGTTGAACTGCTACCTGGTGGAAGGTTAGTTGATCTAGATTTTGCGGACGATATCGTTTTGCTTTTCGACAATGTTGAGGAGGCAAAATCAACCCTGAATAGCCTATCCAGAGTGGTCCCATTATTTGGTATGCACTTCGCACCTTCCAAGTTCAAAGTGTACCTGCAGGACCACCAGCCACTAGATGACCCCTTGACGGTTGCTAACGAGGAACTCGAGGTGGTTGATCATTTCACTTATCTTGGCAGCTTCATCAGCAGTGACGGGCGCATAGAAACTGACGTCAGCTTACGCACTGCAAAAGTCAGAGCTACCTACTTGAACCGACATCTTTGGCGACAGAAGGGAGTTACCCTCCGTCTGAAAGGCCGTGTATACAAGGCCACAGTAAGGGCCGTTCTGCTCTATGGTAGTGAGACTTGGCCCCTTCGGTCTGAAGATCTGAGCCGCCTTCAGGTCTTTGACCATCGTTGTCTGCGAAGCATTGCTGGTGTCGGATGGCACCAGCGTGTCCGCAACGATGATGTACGTAGGCGAGTACTAGGTGGTGATAATCATGCTAGCTCCCTAGAACAACAGTTAGCACTGAATAAGTTGCGTTGGCTCGGGCACGTGCTACGTATGCCTGGTCACCGCTCACCTAGGAGAGCCTTGTTTAGTCTACCAGGTGTAGGGTGGCGCAAGGCTTGAGGTGGACAGAAGTTGACTTGGCAGCGGGAAATGAAGTCATTGACGACCAAACTGGGTGCCGTTGGTCCCTCTCGCCTTTCGGGCTGGAGTCCACGTGACTCGCCTTTTGCTTGCCTCGAGACTTTACAGGACATGTTTCGCAACCGACACGAGTGGTGCGTCTGCTGCCGTCTCCTAGTCGGATTGCCTGTTTAAAGTGTGTTTGGTGCTGAGTTGTCTGCGGGGTGATGGTTGATTATGATACGTGGCAATGAAAGCCGCAAGGAAACTGTCTCGCCGATGCCGCCTTATCTTTGCACGATAGCCAGCTGTTTGTAACAGTATGCTGTCTACACAAGGTGTAGGCGCCTTGACCCTGAATGTTTGCTTAGGGCATTAAGCTTTTTAGGTAAGTCTCTCTTCTCTGTCTCTTCTTATTCTTTATTTCATAGGTCCTCATGGTTGTATGGCAGCGAAGCATCAGTTCAAATGGCTGATGCACTGCTGTTGATGAGTAATAACTTCTGTACAAAGGATTATTCATGTCACAATTGTAATTGCCTGAGGAGATTTATCGAAAAGAAACCGCTTCAAATTTTCTTTTGACATCAGAATGGGCGTAATTTGGGAATCAAACAGTAGGTGTAAGTTTAGAACAATCCTATACGACACTAACGATCTGTCGAAACCAATTTGCGTTACCATGAGTATCTTCAGCGTTGAGATAATGAGCTTGCTGTCAGACTGTGTAACGCATTTAAAAAACCTTGAGTATTTTGATACCACTGGAAGTTTATTTTCTAACAAGCACCTTTATAACTTCCATATTTCTTCTTTTTGTCAGATGGGCAACACAACGAAGAAAATGCCAATAAACACAAACACCCAGAAATTTTATTAGCAGCAACGCCAAAGTTGAGCTCTCCTGTTTCGTGTCGTCTTTTACCGGTGCCTGACAACCACATTGCTGTGATAACGTGACCAAGTTCAGACGTAATTCGCTTCACCCGCATCCCACTAGCTGGCGGTTTGGTGACATTTGGCCCCATCTTACTTCCGTCTTGATTCAGGTTGAAGAGATACAGATATCTTGATAGCCGAAACTGAAGAATTGTGACATGTTGCTCAGATACTAGTCCGGAATGATGCCAGGTATTAGACGTGTCCAATACGAGAGTACGGAGAACAGTAAGAGCGGCATCATCCAAGCTATAATGCGGGTAGCTAAATAGAATGGAAAGAAGGTTAGCAAGAGTATTGCTCAGCCTAGCAACTAGACTTGCCTTTGATTCACGAATGATCGTTATTCGGAATCGCCAAACAAATGAATGGTTAAAATCAACCTAAACCAAGGATAGCAACTATTTTAAAACTTAAGTGCGAATATTCTACATCCACTACAGCATACGCAAGTGCGCATTTCGCCTTCACGTCATTACACCAGATGCGCAAGCGATTCTCTCTGTCTCCTAGATAGTACATCTGCATAATTGCCTAGAAAATAGCCAGAAATATTACCGCTTTTTGAAATATCAGCTTGATGCACATGTGTAACTTATAGATTCAACTACTTGCTGCACTTCAATATTGAATTTCCAGGTAACATTTGATTCAATGAGCTTACTTCTTAAAACACTCTCATATTCATTTCAGCCAACTGAGGCTTTTAAACCAACGAGTTATTGGCATGTTGGAGGTACTACATTATATTGCATGATTCGAGCTACCTGACCGCCGTTGGGCTACGCCGACTTAAAAGAGATCTTGTTAATCTGGATGATAAACATTCCACTTACTTTGATTTGCTCAGTTCTGTCATTATGATACGCAATCAGTGTAAATTATGTGTCTATTTTTCCTTCAAATTAAGTATTGTTTATCTGATGTCCCCGGTATGACTGCTTTTTATGCGAATGTTGTCAAGGTGCCTACCTGTCTAACACCCTCCACCACGTCTATCCTTTCTCCAGGAGACGGCAAATCGTTGTTTGGGGGGAAACGGGTGCATGGTTATCGTGGACGTGTTAGGCTCAAAGATTGGTTCCATCTAGTTTGGAGCTAACTACCGTCCACCCCCTCGTTGTGTACGTATGATACATAATTCCCTAATTAGATGGACAGGAATGCTGCTGCTTTATATCGTAAAGGAGTGTGGGCCGATTCCGTGCATGAAAGGTGGCTTCCATCCACAAGCCCCGGTCTTATTCCTTCGAGTTTCCACTGGATGTAGCGTGTGTGGACGGAGCTATGGGTGGTGCAACGCAAGCAACCTATGTCTCTTTTGTAGACGCAGACATTCTGTGGCTTTCCCTAGAGAAGGCGCAATGACAGACAATTCCGGAACCGGGTGACGCCAACCAGGAAGGCGCTTAGTACATGGCCGCTCGAAACCAGCAATTTTTCAAGATAGCACCAATGTAGTGATATAAGCCATTGGAATAAAACAATAGCGGAGAAAGTGATACTGAATTTCCTGTCTGCAGATGCTTGCAATGTAGCATTGTATGTGTGCGTCCAGTGGTGTCTGGAAAATTGTAATGTTATTCATAAAATATTAACCCTAAGTGAAATTGGCATCAATTTTTGACCATACCAATTTTCAGGGGTCATATCCTTCACTATTCACGGTGTAAAATCCTACTATTTAAAGTTTTTGAGTATTTGGTTCATTGGTTTACTGGTTTGTAGAGAGCAAAAAGGAAATCCTTTGTCAGCCCATCACTTCCCGCTTACTGTAGGGATCATACGAGTTGAGGCGACACATCGCTCTACAAGAGAGCGTGAGGTCACAGTCAACAAGGCAAGATCCATGCTTGTACGGAAAATAGATGTCTAGTAATTGTTTGAAAAGTTTCGCTGTTTGCGCACTGACGAGTAGCTTAGGTAAACCGTTTCAGTCATTCATCACACGAGTTGACAAAGTGACATCCGAGCAAACCCGAAGTCTCCTTGGTTTAAACAGCTTCATACCGTGGCTTCGTGTCGAACACTCCACACAAAGACGAAAGGATTCCTGCATCTCCTCCCCCATCTCACCCCGAAGGGGAGGTCGCACGTCAGTAAAGTCAACATGGCGACGACGATACTTCAGGGAGAACAAGTTCATTCTTTGAAGGCGGTGAAATACAGGTTCCGGAGTGTTATGACGGATTTCGATTCCTGCCGCTGAACCTTCTCCATCAGTACATATCCACCTTTCGTGAGAGGATAGAATGCTAGCAATCCGTAGTCGAGAATTTGTCGAACAACGGAGCAGAAGGCGTCGGAATATCTCTGGAGTCATCTGGTAAAAAGATCTTATAGAAGAGAACATCCTATTAGCAGCGCCAACTTTTGTGAGGTTGTCTGAAGTCATGCACATGTTTGCCGAGACAACAACTTCACTTTTTTGAGGGGAGAAAATGGGAAAAATTTAATTGTACCATTAAGCGTAAGGTTGTTGAGAAAATTTTGTCCCTCCGTATCATCTGGCTTCCCCTATCGATAGGAATACTCGTCAACCGCTTACAAGTTCCAAATGGTCACGCTGTCCTCTCGTTCACTGGTCTGAAGTTAACCATGATAAAGGGCAGACTAAGCCCATCCGTATAGCTGGGTTGCACTGCAATATTTTCAGGAGTGCATAATCTTCACTATCAGTCAGTAGTTGAATGCATACAGAAGCACAAAATTTCTGATATTCATAGTTTTATGTGGCTAGATGCTCCAGTATGCAAATGACATTTTGCATACAGCGTGAATAGCAGCGTGCATAGGGGACATCAAGGTTGGTGGTTAAAAGCTGAAAAATACATCTTACGTAATTCAGATCTGCTTTCACTTATTGAATATTTATACAACAATAATTACGTGTGCCACACCGTATGGAATTTCCTCACGGATCTGCTTTTGGGATCGTGTACTCAAGCTGTTTAGACTATGATCACATGAAACAAGAAATTTGAGAGGCCGAAATGAAAAGATTGACATCAAATCACTCGCGCTTTTGAGCCATGATGTCCGTTTGCATCCACGATGCACTAATCCGCCTTGATTGCTCTGTAAGCATGCATGAGAACATGGTTTTCGTATACCTATCTTAATAAGTGGTTTTACTCAACCACGTGGTTAGACCTCACAAAAGTGCTTACAGAAGGTCAGACATCCGCAGTAGCTGGATCTAGTTCATAAATTAAACGTGCTAGTGACATATTTTAAATGGGTGGCTTTGGGTATAAAAGTAATCGTGGCCCCCGCTCGTAGCAAGTGGAAGGCACTTGGAATGGTAAGTGATTTGCTGGTTTTTGTAATGCATGTGACATCATCTCCAGGCGTTTGCTTAATCAAAGTTGTGACATTCAGGTGCCGTGTCATCATTCCACTTGCTTTGTAGAGCTTTGTGAATTCGTCACTCATCTTATTTGTCTTCGTTGCTACTCTAACCAGCTGGTGTGGGTTAGCCCAGACGTTGAATAAGCGTCAGTGGGATTCGGATTCCGATTGGTGGAAGCGAGAACAACGTCAAAATGATGGCAGCATATCAGATCGAGAGTATGATAATTGGCGAAGCAGTATTGAAAGTGACAACGCAGGCAACCAAGACTCCCTTAACTCGGATACAAGGAGAACTGAATCACAAGGAAGGAATAGGCAGAATGACAAAGAGGCAACTCCTTACCAAAAGCAGACGAATAAAGCCGGTCCACGAACAAAGAAAAGACAGATAGTGAATCCGAACTTGAGTCAGGGTTCAGATCTGGATCCGAATCGGAACCAACTTCAGAATGCAAACCAGAATCCAAATTTGAATCCGGGGCAGAATTTAGATGAAAATTCAAATCTGAGTAACAACCCATCTCAACCTAACAGGTTGCAAAATGTTCCGATTACTGGCAATAGGGGTACGGGCGGGGATGGTACATATGGTGTTTATACCCAGCCGTATTCTCAGAACAACTTGGTCAGAAGTGAGTGAAAAAGACACCTGTACTGTACCCTTACACATTCCATAATTAGATGTATGCAAAACCTACCAGCTGCATCCTGTGTGTCTATATGTAGAAGGTGACATCTGATCATGATTGTTCGCTCTCTATCCAAATGGTTCATGCATTTGCTTCGGATATGCGATTAAATTAAATAGTTTACATCAAACTCATTTCACACCCTCAACTTGTGCTTTCTTTCTGCTTCCACACGGATTTAATAATCTTATTTGTTTTTTCCATTTTAGATACGTGAAATTGTGTCTATCCTATTTGTTTGCGATAAGTGACGCATCAGTCTGAAGTTCCATTGTAATAACTGCCGTATAATTGTCATTAACCGCTACAAAGCTGTAACTTATTTTCCCTAGTTTATCCGTTTAGTTATTTCTGCTAACAAGCGGTTGAGCAGTTGGCACTCATAAAGTATATTGATCGTTTCAAAAACAGAACTTTCTGGAGTAAATGATATTGCTTTGCCGGAGTTGCTTCCACCGTATTTGGGACGAAAAAGAAACCCATATATGTTGGTAATGTTCCATGTATACAATCAGAAGGTTCACTGACGCAGTAACAACGTTACCATCAAGCAAATAGTGACAAAGCCCAGAGCAATTATTTTAGGAAGTCAAGTATATCTGCTTAGCCTACAGTTCTGCAGACTCAGTGATCTATTACACCTAGCATGACAAACAGATCGAGCACTGGGAGCTGCATGGATGTTGCATTGTTTTGTGCAACTGAGCTACACAGCTTTTTTGTGCAAAATCAATGTAGCCTGCTTGGTAAATTTGTTAGAAAGTATTTAGTGAGACTTATTGGGTTTTAAAAAGTCTAGTACAGGTATACTCAGCAAGACACTCGTCCGGAAAAGAGGTATATGATCATTTCGATCTATTAGGATTCGTCGGAATTGCGCATTCACGGGGTCTTACAGGACCCGAACCCATGACCTTACCAGCCAGCGACATATTCTACTGAGAAATGGGTGACGGCTCTGCACCGCCATGACTAATTTTCAACTGCGATATAACGCAGCTCATCCTCCGATGTTCTAAGTGTTAAGACGCGCCGACGGCACGACTGTCCCCAGAATAACGACTACCATTAGTAGATGGGTATTCGTCAGCAAGAGCCAGGCTGCAAACCAATCTGAGAGATGACAGCTCATAAACCTGTAGCCACATTTATCAGCGATGGGCTTGGGCGAACAATTTCTCGCTGTAGGCTGGAGGCAGTTGTCTACGTTGGCGTTTACGCACTAGTTTTTCTCCTCTTTACTATCAATCTATTTTTATCTGATGCATCAAGTCACTTAGTGATCGACTCGTGATAGGGGAAATAGCTGATTTAAGTTTGCGAATTCATTGCTTGTGAACACGCTTTTTGACATGCTAAGTGTGGCAAATCTTTAATCACACCATCCAACCACAGCGAACAAATTGAGTTGGAACGAATGGAGTTCAGCTGATGATCACCTAACAAGAATGATAGGTTCGTCATCTGATTACCTTTATGTGTGATGGAAACATGTAAGCAAATATAAATTTTGTGAACTTTGCCTCGCGGGTTACCTAGATAGAGGGCTTTCGGGTATCACCGCAATCACACGCTACCAGATCAGGTGTACAGCGTGGCTCTGCTCTAGTTAAACGCGGTTTTTTGCCGGGCTGTAGATTATCGGCTTACCGAAGGAAACCTTGTAATTAATTTAAGCGTGTATGAGCGCACGCGCTATGTAACCACAACCTATGGTTAGACCTGAAAAGAAGGTTGCAGGTTGTACCCTATCTTTGGCCTCCCATACAATAAAGGCTTTTCGCAACGTAACACGACTTTTAGACTGCGAACCATTGTAAAGTTTTGACCTTTGTGGACAGAAATGCAATCCACAATCCATAAATTTGGCAATGCCCCTAGTTGGATAGACATTACTAATTCCCCAAAATCGAAAACTACCATCGCTTCAAGCGGATGATACACATCGACCTACGAAGAAACTGTGAACTGCTTATCTGGATGACTGGCTGTTGGGTAGCGACTATCCGTAATAACAAAGTGTTGAAGCCTCATACTGTACTGAGTTATCGTAGGTTGGTATCCATGACCTCATGTACACCAACATTACTGCTCAGGGGCCAGAACAATCAACACCATGCGAAAGAAGTCGAGACGTCATGTGCTCGATCGCTTAATGCACTATGAGCGCGAGTTTGCAAAGTGCACTTATCCTAGGTAACAAGATTAGATCACGAGTTTCGGTTGCAGTCAACGGAATGAACGCTTAACATGTGAGTTGAAGTAACAGGGGACAAAAATTTACTAACTGATTAAATGTGACCTAGTTTCTTACACCGGAAATCAAAATCTGCTGCGCAGTTTACAGTGTGATATTTTCAGTTCATCCTGGAATAAAGTTTTGTCAGTAGTGACATTAATAATCAAGCGATTCAACCAAATAAACAATGAAATATAAATAAGTAAATAAATGATATATTCCTCGACATTGCGTGGCACAGTCCAACTGAGTGGTCTGATCATTGCGTACAACCAAATCGCATAGGATTAGTGTTTCCCGAGCTCTTCAGAGTAGTTCTTAAACTACTTTGGAGGAGCTGACTGATCGACTGAATCTCTCAAATAGTTTATGAGGTTACTAATAATAAAGAATGTATATAAATCCAACTGTGCATATGAACAATGAACAATGAATTTATACGGGTTAAAAAGCGTTGCTTTACAAATCCCGTTGGATAGTTGGTGCGGATATTAACATAACAAGAAGGATAGTAAGGATGGTAAAATAGTTAATACTTTAAATGTAAAAATAAGGATTAATCGTTTGTTTCGCTGCTGTCCTGCGATCCTCTTAGGTTCACAGCACCCACAGTTAACAACAACCAATTCCATGGTAAACTCCAGGTATAGGATGGAGACTTAGTCTTATGTAACAAAGTGTAAGTGGATGCGTGCATCGTCCAACCGTCTTTTAAATACTGTTAGTGTTGGAGCAGAGACGGCCGATTCTGGGAGAGCATTCCACGGGTGACAGACACGAATGGAAAAGCGATTTCTGCGGCACTCCAGACGACAGTATTGTTCTGCGAGTTGTAATGAGTGGCCCCTTAGGTTTGCATTGCTGCAGAGTTGCAGTAAAAGGCGGCACACAGGACGTGGGTCTCGCAGAATCAAGTATGCCATAATCAGGTCGCCTCGTAGTCTGCGATAGCTTCCACCGAACAATCCCAGTCGTCGCAGCCTCTCCTGGTAGGAAAGATTGCGCATTCCAATTACGTTCTTAGATGCCCGGCGTTGTGGGTGCTGCAAAGCATTAAGGTCGTGTTTCAGCCATGGATGCCAGGCTAGAATTGCATATTCGACATGGGGGCGAACATACGCACTGAGCATTTGTCGAAATATTGAGCTGTTTATTTGTCAAAACGCCCACCTCAACAGCTCGACGTTTTGGTGCCCGGTCTTCGAGGCCTTTCGGATTGCCTGGAGCAACCCAAGTCATCTTGAACCAGGACACCCAAGTCACGTTCGAGAGTTGAATGTTGCAGTACATCCGTTCCGAGTCGGTATGAGTAGCTGCCGTGATGTCGGATGGAAAGCACCTTGCATTTACTGACGTTGAAATGCAATAAGTTTTGGGTCGACCATTGATACACCGTATCTAAATCACGCTGAAGCACATGCTGGTCGGCGTTCGCCTGGATCTTGCGCCAGATCTTGATATCGTCGGCAAACATTAGGAAGTTTGAAGCGATTCCCTGTGCAACGTCACTAATAAACACCGAAAACAAACGTAGATCTAGAATTGAGTCTTGCGGCAAACCACACTCAACTTGTATGGAATCCGATAAAGTGCTCCGAACTCTGATCACTAATGGCCGTTGATGTAGAAAGTTGGCGATCCAGCATATAAGAGGGTCTCCGATCCCTTAACGCTGCAGCTTGGATAGTAGTATCCGATGGTCTAGACCATCGAAAGCGTTGGAAAAATCCAGGTAGATCACATCGATACCTTCTCCAGCGTCCGCTGCCTCGATCCAAATATCGCGTGCAATGAGTAACTTCGTAGTACATGACCGCTGTCGACGGAAACCGTGCTGTTTAGGAGTGATGAGGTTGCAGTTTTCCAGATAGCACACCACTGCATCGGCAACTATGGATTCCATGACCTTGGAGAGTATAGGAAGAAGGGTTACTGGGCAGTAGTTAGAGGGATCAGTTCCTCTTCCACCTTTGTAAATCGGGGTTATTATTCCAAGCTTCCACATGGAGGGAACTTGGTTCTGGGCTAAGCAGCGCTGGAAAAACTGAGCTCACGTTCCTGCCAGTTGGTTTGCTGCTGCTCCCAATGCCTCTGGACGAATGGTGTTGACACCCGGCGAGCTGTGTTTGCGTAGAGGAGTCAGCTTTTGCAATACAGCCTCTGCGGTATAAGTGATGTGGGTTAGTCCTAGCGAACAGAATACAACGCTTGGTAGTTCGCTTGGTGGCAAGACTCTTTGAAACGTGGGGGCGTATTGCATCTGCAGCGCCTTTGCAGCTTCCATAGCCGTTCTTGTTGCGCCATCAACCTTCTTGAGTGGAGGAAATCGCTGCCTCACCTTTCGTAGGCTATCAACGTGCTTGTACAGCAGTTTGTGGTTAGCACTGAAGGTTGCTGCGATGTTCTGCTGATAGGCGGCTTTGTCTTCTCTTAACAGTTGAGTTCGGTGGTTACGTTGGGCTACGTAGTTGTCCCAAATTTCTGGTGCTGGAGTTTCTCTGTACACTCGCCATGCTGCGTTGCGTACTGCCATCCATTTTCGAGTTCTGCTCCTAAGGAAAGAAACTGATTTGCACTTATTGCAATCCTTTATCTCTGAAGCCTGTGCAATCAGCTGACTGAATGTGTTGACGAACTCGAGCCAGGTGACTTCCGGGGGTTCTTCTTCGAGGAAAGACTATGTTGTGGCGCTGACTAGCTGCGCGAGTCGGTCGTACCTTGTGATGGTACGCACAGTCACATCGTTATCATTCAGATATTCTGCATGGCAGACGAAGTTGAAACGGATCACGGCATGATCACTGCAACCCAACGGGCAGTCTAAAACCAACGCACCAACCATATGCTCCTGGTTGGTAAGCACAAGATCCAGCACAGATGGCCTGTTACCTGTTCTGAACCGACTGGGCAAAGTGATGTGGTTTAAAAAGGAACAGTAGTTACTAGATCTTGTAGATCGGTTTTGAATTGTTCTCCGATTGTGGCAGGGGCTTCAAAACAATGTTCGCTGAAATCACCCATGATAAGAATGTGAGTGTACATTTGTTGTAAACTGCACCTTAAAACAGCCGCTAGGTGGTAGTCGGTTTCGTGTGTTCAGTTAGGGGCGCGGTACACCAAGACAATAAGGCAATCGTCCCTGCCTTTTAACTGCAACCGGCACCAAAGAGAGTCGGGGAGCTGTGAGTCTGAATCCTCCACGGCT